CTGAAGTTTCTGATTCAGCAGAGCTTATTTCCTTTTGAATATCATTTTCTTGTTTGATTTTATATCTTGTTCGTCGCTTGTAACGATTTCACCTAATGAGACATATAATTAAATATATAACATTCAATGGTCCGACATTATCCATGGAAGCAAATCCCCACGGGCATGCAGGAACTGGCGTATGTCGCCTTTCTGTCTTTACCTTGCCAAGATACTTTGTTGCTACGCATGAATTACAGCTTTCACAGTATTTTCGAATATCTGTAGTCATGCCCTTCAAATAAGTAAAAATCACGAGAAATATTCTCTAATGTTTTGTTTCTCCCTCCATGGGGTGCTATATGTGCATCGTGATAAAGTTCTATCATTTTTCTTCTTAATGTTTTGGTATTATAGCAATTCATCATATTGTTGTGAAGCAGTTCTCTCTTTATAAAATAGTCCTTTTCTTGACTTATAAAATCCCTCAATAGTAATTAACTTTTGAATATCGTTATCTACACTTTGTAGTTCTTTTAATTTATCTAGATCGTATAAAATTGGAGTACAATTGTTATGAAGATGTCTTAATGTTCTAACTAAACATGAAGATTCTTCTTCTTCTTCATTTTCAACTGTTACTGGATCTAATGGGTAATCTAATCTTGTTAGGGAACCGACATGATTATGTTTACCTGGTGGTTTACAGTGGATTGTTCTGGTGATTTTTTTTTAATTTTGTGGTTCTTTATAAGAGTCAAGTCTCCAAGGAGGTGCCCTGTTTCGGGTGAGTTTGTTCCATTTTGAAATGGCCATTCTGGCCCATATTTTGGTATTCGTCTTATAGAATCGTTACTTAGAGACGGATTTAGAATAACATGGTTTATCTTATCACACAATTTCTTGTGTGTCTTTTTTTTTTCTTTTTCTTGCTCTATTCGTTCACCGGGCTCAGTGCGAAGTTTATCTACAGATGGCCATAAAGTGCAGGGAATGCAATAAAAAACTACTACATTGGATGTGCCAATCTCAGTAAATCCGCTTATAATTCTCTAAAAGATACTGGTTTGATTAAAACTTGGGGCTGCCGCTTATGTAGCAAATCCATATATCAAGCAAAATCTTCCTGATGCTTTAAAAAATGTCCTAATTGGCTTATCCCGCGTTATTAGTGAAAACTTCTCTATGCTTAGTCAGCAAATCGCTGACTTAAAGAATGAAAACTTAATGCTCCACGAAAATATATCTAAATTAACGGAAAAATTTGATAGTGTTTGTAATGGGACAAATGATACTGCCTGTTTCTCTTCTTAAGCTAAGACGCTGAAAAAGGCATCTATTATTGTCATTAAGTCTAAGGATTACTCAAAATCAGACATTATTTCCAACATTAATCCCGATAATTTCCAAAGTTAAACAAATAAAAAATGGTGGATTAGCCTAAACTACTGAAACTAGAAACATGAATTTTGTGTTTTAAGCACCCATTAAGAAAGAATTTTTGAAAATTCAGCCCCTAAAAAGGTAAAATAAGGGATGAAATTTTGTGTGGGGGGTCTCGTGAATTTTTAAGTTAGACACTTATGCGCTAAAATAAATAATTGTCCTAATTTAAAGACAAAACCTGAAGTACCAATGACCACCGGGAACCACCATTCCGTTTACAGTGAAACATAAACCTTCCGCAGGTATGTGAGAACTAATAATAAACTTTACGTTCAAAACTTTTGGAAACAATTGGAGATGTGTTATGACATCAAATTTTCGACAAATTTCAAACTTTAGCTTTTATTTTTTAGTGACACAACCTACAGTTACAGTGACCGAAGTTCTACAGACGTCGTTCGCTTCTTCAGCTAAAATCAAGAGCATTATTTAAATAAAACTACATAATTATGTTTCAGAAAAGAGGTGTCAGACTGTCACACTAGCCACACCACTTGTCCATGCTATAAAAAAAATTATGGATTTTGATTTTTAGAGATGTGTACTTATTTTCATCATACACTTTGCACACCGTACGAATAAAAAACTCACATTTCGATATTAGGTCGCAGAATCGAACAATACTAACACGTGGTGTAAATTTGTTTTATTGTTTGTAAATTCACAGTTCATGTTAGGATTTTAATCGTTAACTTGTTCTAACACAACTTTAACCGTCAGAGATTTGTGCAGATAATATACTTGCTAAGAGATTTCATGAAATTCACTTAGTCAGAACTCACCGTTTGTTTACCAAGTTATAAATAAGGTTTCTGGATGCTTATACTTACCAAAGTATTACATTATAACACTTCTTAATTTTTCACACAAGATCGCACAAGTTTTACTTCACACTAGATTGTTTTTTTCTTGTTTCACGTAAATATTTTGTTGATTAATGCTTCCATCATAAAACTGTCTGATTTCCAATCTTAATCTCAAATAAGAATTCTTTGCTGTTTAAAATTTCACGAGAGTGTATGGCGAATTTAAATGTTTATTGCTTTTAGAAACTTTAACACTTGTTCGATTGTAGTTTAATGTCAGAGCCATGGAAATTGAGCATTTAAATGGAATTGAACTAAATAACACAGAAACACGTGGCAGAAGCGGAGTGCGCGGTTTCCTGTCGAGCTGGCGGTCGCGCCATCTGCACAAGGGATGCAAGCCTAGGATAGAAATCAGGGGCGTCGGAATGACGTGACGTTGGCGGTTTGGTCCAATAACCGGGACCCAACCACGAGTGGTGTAAATCTGTTTTATTGTTTGTAAATTCACAGATCATGTTAGGATTTTAGTCGTTAACTGGTTTTAACACAAGTTTAAACGTCAGAGATTTGTTCAGATAAAGTATCATCATATCATCATCACATCACCGAGATAGTTTTCTCGTAACCTTGAAAATTACATCACCGAGAAGCTTTTCTCGCAAGGCCTGATGCATTTTGTGTTTATTTATCATGTATTTGTTTGGGATGAGCTGGGAACAGTCACGATATAACCTCTCAAAGCTAATTATTTTCAGTAACCAATCACTTGGAGAGTGTCGCATAATTTAACACAATGTAAATTCTTTGTTTCATGCGTTTGTAAAGTGTGGCATAATTTAACATCCGGTAAATTCTTTCTTCTGGCAGCGGCCATGTTTAATGAGTACTTTCAAACCGAGCACATGTTTGAACTGTAAAATTTCGCCGAACAAATTGACAACATTGTGGGTCATGAAGAACGTGCATTTTATTCCTTTGATTTAGGCCATTGTCTGCACAACGCCACAGGATGAATCGCATTTCTAAATCGCATATTTTTGACGTATTGTTTTGGAACGACGCATTTGTCCGACGCCATTTTGGACCTCCAGATTGTTTTGTTAGGTTTTTATTTATGTGTTTGTTTGGGGGAATGTAAAACGATGGCCCACGATGCAGCTGAATAACTTCACTTTTAAAATTTTACCAATAACTCGAATGGATGTTAAAGATGTTAAACTTTTTTAGTTTTGCAATTTTTCACTTTTTTTTTGTTTTATAAATTTTTGATAGTTGTTTCATCTAAATATTTTGTTGATTAATGCTTCCATAATGAAAATGTCTGATGTCCAATCTTAATCTCAAATAAGAATTCTTCGCTGTTCAAAATTTCACGAGAATTCGATTGTAGTTTAATGTCAGAGCCATGAAAATTGAACATTTAAATGGAATTAAGGTAAATAACACAGAAACACGTGGCAGAAGTGGAGTGCGCGGTTTCCTGTCGAGCTGGCGGTCGCGCCATCTGTACAAGGGATGCAGGCCTAGGATAGAAATCAGGGGCGGTCGGAATAGCGTGACGTTGCCGGCTTGGTCCAATAATCGGGACCCAACCACGAGTTTGCGACCGTAACGGTTTGTTCGTCTAGGCACGTTTCTCCGTGATAGAGGGGTGCTGGGCGGCAGTCTTTGCGATACAATAGAATTAACGTCGGGGGTAGGAGAACAGGCACGACCAGGAGCCCCAAACTCCGCTTGAGCTACAACGCCCCCTATGGGTAATTCTTCTGTGCTCTAGAAAGAAATTGAAATAGTTCGATCGCCACACTCTTGTAGCGTTTTGATGCCGCTGTCGATAGAAGTTTTTATTAAAATTTTGTTCTCTTGTTGACTGCCATAATTTTAAATTTGCCGCCACACGCCCGTAATGACTTGTGTATTTGCATCCAGTTACTTTACTAAAGATTTTTTCTTTGTTTTTATTAAATTTGTGAAATTCAAATATTTACATTGATTGACAACTGAGCATTAAGCTGTGTCTTCAACCGGCACAACTTTGTCGCAGCTTTTTTTTTCAGTCGAGAAATAAATAATTTTGTGTCCTCCATATATTTTGTGTTTTATTTAGCCGTACTTTTCCAACCTTGGGGCCCAGCACTTGCATCTGAAGGCATTCCGCCACAAAAAAATACACAACGTAGGTTCCATTTTGTTAGACGATCACAGCCAAGGCCAAATTTTTTTAATGTTTGAATTTTTTGCGGGCTCTCAAATTTTTTTTTCACGTGTTCATTTAAGGCGGGTTGTTTGGGTCATCGCAATGGAGATTATCAGGGACCATTATTTATATATTTGCTAAAATTTGTTGACCTATGAAGAGAAAATAAGAAAATATTGAAAACACATATTCGTAAAAAGTGAGTGCGAAGCGACTTAAGATAACTGTAACGAAACACTGAACATATTTAAAGAAAAATTCAACGAATAAGGACGTAATGTACAAGACACTTGGTGCCAAGTAGAAGTACTTACTAAAAAGAAACCCGTTCATTATTGTCATAGTTGCATATATGGACAGTGCCAAGGTCAAAAATGCGGGCGATAGTGCAGTATTACCTCATTCATCTATAAAAATATTCTAAAAATAACCTGCAACAAAAATTCACGATTACGATAATCAATCCATTAACTTCATTCCGGTAAACTGGCCTTTTTATTCAATGAATATGTAAAGTACCAACTTTATCGCACAAAAATTATTTCGATATTTTCGTGGCAAAGCTCGTAAAGATTTGCGATTGCTCATTTTCGATTTTTGTTACGTTTATACAGCGCATACAAAAGCTACAATTACCATTCGACCGGTGTACTTTTGCAATGCCACTCCTACTGCTACAATGGAATTCTCACGAGTACTTTTCGTAACAGTTTTCTATTCTGTAAGTACATCCAACAAAACATAGTTCACTTTATCAATCTGTTGTTTACAGTTCACTTGCGCTGGAGGTAAGATTACATAGTACGGCAAGATCACCTACACACAACTCTTTTTGTAGCCAGCAACTATAACTGGGACGATTGGACCCAAAACTTAAACCGGGATATACATCAAAGTGTTAGTCGAGCTTTAAGTGGTTTGTATAATCTGGAGAGCACGATATCTCAACAGATCCAGCAGAATTTAGCAGGCATTATTCCACATGTGAGCAACTCCGCTAACAATGACACCAACGGTGGTTTCGGCAATTTAGACAGTTTGGACAATTTAGGAAGTATCATTTCTCAGCAGGTGGATGAAGGTTTGAGACCAGTGCGTGAAATGCAAGCTAAACTCAAGATAAAATTCGGAGAAGATGGTACCACAGTCGCCACGTTTAAAGGTCCGCCTGAAAATATATACAGGTTCTACATTTTTACATTAGATATTTCTAGATAAACAAGTGATTGTGCGCGATGGGGTCTTTTACGAATGCGAAGGTACCATTTCCGAAGAGGACGGTTCCTGCTCTGATACTTTACGCCAATCGTCTTTTGAAAGCCAGAGAGACTTCTGTTACGCAAATATCAACACAATTATTAACAGTTGGTACTGCATTTCGCCCGGTGGCGGTGTCAGTTCCGGATTTATTAATGGAGAGGTGTACTGCAATGGTTTCCAGAATAACCCCACTCTGTTGATTTCGGCGGAAGATTACAGAAATTTGTGTGGTGACGTTGGGTATCGTGTAACTTACAAATACTTCGGTACTGATCCTATAGGAGACCACAGTTCTGACGTAAGCTGCTCCAGTGGTACTCCTTACACGTGTACTTACACGGAAGACAGAAATTCCAATCTTGGTAATTCCGGGCCCTATAACTTCGTGCTCAATTAAACACTTTGTTTAAAAGTTTAATGCACTGTTACACTGTAAAATAAAAGAATTTTGGTTACAGTGAGAGAATACTATCCACTAGTATCTTTTTGGTCGTATCACAAGGAAAACAATCACATTTTCACTAGTATAAAAGGCGAGTGCATTCAGAAAACTAAGTGCTGAAAATGATAATCGCATGCTATACCTTTCTATATTCCCCAAGCCACCACAACCTAAAATATCAAACTTCATGTTGACATTGTCAACCTGACAACCGGACCCATATCATCACGTCTAAATTCTCAGTGCCAATACCGCAAAATGTTCACATCCCTACTCCTGTACCTGTTGGCTGCCAGCGTCGATCTCAACCAAAATCTCGTTTTTGCAAAAACTAACTTTTCTCGTCCAACAAACACCAGTTGTATAACAAATACTGGAGACCCATCACTTCTGCCGAATCCAGCTATTCGTTGTCCGAATCCACCAGAACCTAATTTTGAGAAAATTTACAGTTCACGTGAAGACTCTTTCCCTGATCAAGAATGTGCGATGTGTAGTCTCCAACTAGACCAAGAAAACACTGGGGTGCTTGTGAGGTGTTACAGATGTCAGAAGGCCTTTAAACCACCAGAATTAATGGAACAGGAAAATTGCATCGATGTTACCGCTGCAGAGTTAAAGAAGATAAATATAAAACGTGACAACAAAAAATGAGTAATGAAACATTAAAGAGGATTTTGTTAATGCCGATAAAAGACAAGTAATTTTTGATACGTAATTTTTTTATATATACTACAGTGTAAAAGTTAACAAATGCTATCTCAACACAGTCTCAACCTTTCAGTAGTCTCGTAAGTAGTAACTAATAAAGATTTTTGCAGTACGATATTTATTCGACGACTAATTGCAACAAAGTAGACGCAGCTTTTTCGAAAATCAGTTGGTAGCGAAAAATGTTTACCTACTTTGTCCTGCGAGAAGTTCGAGTTGATCAATTTTAGTCGTTTTGGAAACTGTCTGTCCATTAGATTTAGCTAGCGGACAGACAGACCACAAGTCACAAACCTCTAGACGGAAAATAAAAACTAAAATTTCATTCTCTCAAACATAGCACTTCTTTATTAACCCTCGAAAGAATGCAAAAAACTCGAAATTAATACAAAGCTGCATCCAAGGTGGAGTCGGCTGAAGTTTGAAGTTTCCACTCATATATCATGCGAGACAAAAAAAAAAACGCCGAAAAAAGGTGAAAAAGACCCCGCCAAGGACTCGACGAAAAAAATTATAACGATCACGGGACCTAATGCCGAATAAAGGCGATGTAAAATTTATAAGCTCAACGTGAACATGGATTTTTACATTATTTATGTCGGCGTCTAGACATCTTTAATGTTTTAATGAAGCCCTTCTCTTTACGAATTTATTTAAATATTTGTACAGTGTAGTAGACTGTTATTCGTAGACGGAAGAGATTTACAGGCGAGAAAAACGCATAATCAGGACAGGAAAAATAACATTTTATTGAACAGCATAAATCTGGTTAGAAAAATCTTTAATTGACAAACTTAAAGTGGCGAAATAACATAGAATTCTAGGTCGATTTTTTGTCCAACAACTAGGACGAAATATGCAGGGCCGTTAGAATCTATGAAAACAATTATATATCTTGAGAACCAATTATTATTATTGTTTATTGTACAAATCAACTGAAATTAGGTACAGGGATACAAGAAGTTGTGCTCTAAATATTCATCAAAAAATTTTTTGAGATGCAAGGCCAACATGTTTTTTTTAAATGGTACCATATAATTAATCGCTTTCAAAATAGCTGTTCGTATTTTACTTGATTTTAGAATATCTTTAAAAATAGTTACCAACTTTTAGCTTTATTTCAACCAGTTTTTTCAGGTTGTTAATTTTGTTGTGTTTTACTTGATTTTTCAGACACTTCTCTATAAAATTAACGACTTAATATCTGCTAATTTAACAAGATTTTGAGTAAAAATGTCTGTTAAGAGACTAATAAATAAAATATGAACTCAAAGGTTTTATGCAAATTTATTATTGCGAAGTACCTACATAACAGGAGCTATAAACTTATTTAAAACTTATAAATAAATTTAATGAATTATTAATTTGAATTATTGATGTTCTGTGAAGTTAGAGTCGAAAGAGCCCTCGATGAGATCTTCTGTCTTTTCTTTGCCAGAATTACTAAACGGATTTAAAAACCACTGTTTGGTCTTTCCTGCTGGTGCATATGTCTTCCTAGTGCTTAGTGTAGGCTTAACAACTTGCAGGCTATTCGTCGTGGGTATATAGGTGTGAAACCATTTCTGCAATAAATAATATGGGCTTATTGTTGTATGTCTCAAGATAATATAAGCTATAAACGATTTAACTGCTTTTACGCCTATTTGATTTTATTGCCTTCATTGATTGTGGGTATCGTTAATTTTTTTTCCTTTATTTTCATTATAGGTACTATATTGAAAAAATTGGTCTAAAGAGTTTAGACAGTACTTCCCTCGCTGTCGGAAACTTGACGACTGCATGCCTATTGTGTTTTTTCTCATTACATTTTTGTAGTGGGAATTTAAAAAAAAAAATGCGATGACGTCATCAACATTTTTGCAAGGACACGTATATCAGTTTGGGATGGATGTAGTGTAATACTAAGAATAAAATTATTATATTCTCAAATTTTCGGGAAAATGAATTGGGTCGTTTTGAATATTGATTTGTAATAATCAATAAAATAACGAAACAATTTACTCACGTATACGTATCCCAGGCAGCTGAAAATCGTGTATGTATAAACATTCTTAATTTAAGATGACAGGCGTAACAGCATACTTGAGAGTCAAACAGAGAAACTGTAAACAAAACGACCATCGGTTTTATTGCTTCGACTTCCGCTTATTATATAAAACATTGGGTTTTATTTTAATTCTTAACGGTGAAATTGACAATTGGTTGATTATAAACATGTCTATTTCACATTCGCGGAACCAAGTGAACGCATAAAACAAATGCAGGTCTGTAATGTTAAAGTCAATGTAAATAAGCATGCTACCCTTATGTTTCAACCGAGTTTTTCCTTTAACAAATTTTTTGTCTACCAAATTGGGTTGGTTGGGGTGTAATACTAATAATAAGTGTTGCCTTTAATTTAATCAATAAAATAAATTGACTTCATTAATTTTTTTGAACCACCTCTTAAGAAAATCTAAAAAATATGAATGGAATGATAAATCACAAGTACAAACTCATCATATTTTTTGCATTTTAGATAGGATTTATTCAGCAAAATTTAAGGGTGACGTCATCAATTTTTTTAGGAGGGATGAACAAATACATTTTGAACAAAAGTTTACCATGCTTATAATAACTTTAGAATATTCCCAAGATTTCAAAGCATTCGGTTTTGTAATTCCTGATTAAATCGATAAAATAAATTCACGCCTTCATTAATTTTTTTGAGTCACCCTGCATATGCAAATCCAAAAATATGAATGAAATGATAAATCACAAGTACAGACTCATCATATTTTGTACATTTTAGATACGATTTATTCGGCAAACTTTTGAGCTGACGTCATCAGTTTTTTGTAGAAGATAACCAAATATATTTTGACTAAAAATTTATTATGCTCTTTATAACCTTAAAACATCTGCAAGATTTCAAAGCATTCGGTTTTGTAGTTCCTGATTAAATCAATAAAATAAATTTACGCATTCATTAATTTTTTTGAGTCACCCTGTTTATGCAAATCGAAAAAATTTGAATGGAATGACAAATTACAAGAAGAGACTCACCATATTTTGTACATTTTAGATAGGATTTATTCAGCAAAATTTTGTGGTGACGTCATAAATTTTTTAGGGGGGACGACCAAATACGTTTTGATCAAAAATTTACCATGCTTATGATAATTTTAAAATATCTTCAAGATTTCGAAGCATTCGGTTTTGTAGTTCCTGAGTAAATCAGTAAAATAAATTTACGCTTTCATTTATTTTCTTGAATCACCCCGTATATGCAAATCCAAAATATCTGCACTTACCAGGCAACAATTATTGTAACTTGGTCCAATTTTTAAAATTTGGAGATATATATCCTCAATGACACTCACTCTTCAACAGTTTTTTTCGAATTGGCTTCGCATTTCGCAATCGCAACTGTTTCGTCTCGCCACCCAAACAAGTGATTCCCCCCGCGCCGCTCGTCGTTTCCAACTTCCGCTTTTTGCTATGGCTGGGAGTTTGTTTATATAAACTATGTCTCAACGTGCGATAAAGAAATGACACGGTCAGTGGCGTAACTGAAGCAAATGCGTATGTACTTTTTCTCTGCTTCTCTCGATGTATAAACATTAACAGTCGAAGTTAATCATGTATTGACAATATATAAAATGATTAAGAGATATTCTTCCGATCACAAAAAAAAATTTCCACATTTGCTATTTATGGTGCTTATTCACGAACACACAATAACAAATAAATAAATATTATAACATTATTGTTGCGAAAATCGGAAGTGCTGTTCTTGATTTGATGGGCGAAAAAAGTTGGAAGTGCCGGGATCTGTTACCGGAACTTCTAATTGCACTGCACACTCCACCTCCACTAAACCACAGGCCACAGTTGCTTATGTTAAAACTCATCATATTTTGCACATTTTGAGTTAAACTTTTTTGGCAAAAATTGTAGATGACGTCATGAATTTTTTCGGGGGAATAAACAGATATATTTTCTTTAACAATTTACCATGCTCACAATCAATTTTAACCATCTGCAAGATTTCAAAATATTCAGTTTAGCAATTCTTGATTTATTCACTAAAATAAAGTGACTGATTCATTTCTTTTTTTGAGTCACCCTGTATAAGCAAGTTAAAAAATTTGAATGCAATGATTAGTTACAAGTGTAGTCAGATCATATACTTTATTCAGTAAAATTGTGAGAAGACGTAATGAATTTTTTTTGGGGTTGATAAAGAGATACATTTTGATTAAACAGTTACCATGCTTACAATAACTTCAAAACGTCAAGATTTCTAAGTATT